GGTGGGGGCCTGGAGATGGCCATTCCTAGTGCCCAGGAACCAGCCACTCATGGACACTACTTTGCTCCACCACAGAGGGTGCTGCCCACCCCAGCAAGCTTTGGGTATAAATAGGGACACTAAAAAGATAACCACCACCAAGGTGACAAGCACCCAGGCTGGCCATATTGTCTCCCACCAGGCTCCACAGCTCTGGCCCCAGGGCAGCTTCCACATCTCCTCGAGCTGCAACCCCACTGGCCGGGACTGATCCTTTCCCTATCCTCCAGACTTTAGAAATAGCATTTTCATCATGCCCATCTTAGATCCCACTGGCTGGGGTCTTTAGCTATTTGAGGACATTTCATAAACATGGGCTCCTTGCTCTTCTGAGTTAACACTGAGCCTCACTTCAGCTCCCTCTGCTGTTTGAAAAGTACCAGCCAAGCACACCACTGGGTTCCTTCGGGCCTGCAGCCATGCTGGAACCTGAGCCCACACTGAGGGCACCCCTGACCCTCAGTCCACGACCCAGACACCAGACAGGAGAGCAGGGTCGATGGCCCAGCCAGGGTGGGTGGCAGGTTGCACAGAAGCGGGTCCACGGTCCTGCCCCCACTGGCTCACCTTCTCCTTGGAGAGCTTCTGGTGGGCAAGGAGTTTGTAAATGTTCCAGTTGTTCTCGAAACTCCTGGAAAGGAAGCCAGTTATGCCATGCACAGCCTCAGCTGTATTATACGCAGCTATGTGGCTCAGCACAGGGCACTCAGCATGTGGCCGTGAGATCAGCCAAGGAGGAGCAGGCACCCATGCAGCCAAGCTTCCCATCGTCACCACCCCCGGCTGATGCCTTTGCAGGTGTGGGATCCACGTGGTACAAGGCTACAGCACCCCACACAGCAAAGTGCATGGCCTGGCAGTGGCAGGAGCACAGAGACGGAAACCAGGTATCGGATGCAACCTGACCTGGCCTGTCCATGGGGGCACCAGCCAGGGAGCACCTATGCCACCAGGGACTGAAACCCAGACATGTGCTGGTCTTTCTGTCCCTGCCTCGACCCACAGCTTCCCACCATCCTCACCACGCCCAGTCCCATGTGCTAGGCACTGCCCTGTGTTACCCGCCCTGGGCCTCTGGACATGTCGTGCCTACACTCTAGTCCTGCAGGTGGCAGTGGTATCCAGCCTACAGCCCATCTCCCCACCATGGGTACACCCTCCCACACGGCCAGGGCCCTGGCACCTGCACGGCACAGGTTACAGATGTGCTCTGTATACCACCCCCACCCCCCACCCCTGCCCCTGCCTTGACTCTTCCCTCAGAGCGCCATCTGGAGGAGTCTTGGAGAAGTGATTGGACCCTGAGGCTCCCCACATCCCTCAGAAATGTCCCCAAAGCACAGGCATGAGCCAGTGTGGCCCTCACCTGCCGCGGAGCTGGATGGCCTCGTCAAACCTCTTGTTGTCCATGGCTTTCTGCACCTCCTTGGTCTTGGAACAGAGAAGCCAAGAGTGGGGGCTGGCAGGGGGGCCAGACACCTGGTAGGCCCAAGGAGGGCAGATCTGGCCAACACCCCCTGACCCTATTCCAGGCCTGGTAGCCTCTCGTGGGGGTCAGTGACCATGGCACACCTTGGATTCCCCAGCCACCTTGGCTCCCACAGCTGACCCCCGGGGTGTGTTCTCACTTTCCAGGCTGACCACTCTGGAAGCCCACCCCAGAGTGCATAGGCCTGGGAGAAGCGGGGAGTGCTCACCATCTGCACACACTCCATGAGGGGCAGACGCACAGACTGGTTCCCAGAGAGGCTGACCACGCAGGCTGGCGTGTCGGGTGAGGCCTCTAGCAGCGCCATCACGGCCTCCACTCCCATCTTGCTGCTCTGTTGGGGGAGGAGCTGGGCTAAGGCCTGTGCAGCCCATCCCACTATGATCCAGGTACCCAATGTTCACAGCTCCCCACATGCATGCACGCACACACGTGATCACACATGGCCAAGCCAGCACAGCCCTTGTGAGAGTCAGCATCCCCATGTGGAGTGGAGCCCCATCCAGCTATGCATTCCATCCAGGGGCAAGCACAAGGGAAGGCTCACGCCCCCTGCCAGCTCCTGGCCTCCAGACGCTATGTGCGAGGCCTGTGGCAAGATGGCCTCAGGAGGACCTGCCCAGCCACCAGGAGGGTCTGCAGCTTTGACTACAGAAGTGTAAGGTAGGGCCCGGCAGGAGACACAGGCCAGGGATTCTGATGGACACCAGATCTGAGTTTCCTGCACTTGCAGGGGGACAGAGGCTTACATCTCACATGCAAGGACAGACAGCAGCGAGGACACAGGCACCTACTCCTCACCACACATGCATAGCGGGTCAGAGCGACACCCCACCTACCAGGACTCGGTCAAAGGCCGAGGGGGTCCCTCCTCTCTGCACGTGGCCCAGCACAGTGATGCGTGTGTCGTAGCCCAGCCTCTGCACAACCAGCTGCATGTTGCGGGGGGAGCAGGACAGGGTCAGGGGCTACTGCCGCCCCACTGCAGGGTTTCAGGTGTCAACCCCCAGGGACCCCGTGCAGTGTCTGAATATGCGTAGATGGGATTCCCTGCACGTGTGCGTGGGGAGGTGGGGCAGTGCTTCCTGTACCTAGCCCCCTTTAATCAGCCCCTGCAGCTCCAGGGCCACAGTGGACAGAGGAATCACACAGGGGCTGGCTCCTGGGGGAGGTGCTGGGAGCCCAGGACTCAGGGGCAGAGATCACTGGGGGAAGGACTCCTCAAGGGGCCAGTTGCCTGGGGTGATCCAGTGTGTCGGTGGGCACCCCTATCACTGATGGGCAGCTGGCTGGGCAGCTGGGCCCAGTCACTGGGATGTGAGGAGATTGGGGGGGCCCTAGGACAGGAGTGGGCCTGGAAACGAAAGTATCCACTCAGTGACTGGGCCCCCATGCCCACACTCACATCCTTCACGTAGCCAGAAGAGATGGGTTTCCCATGGCGGTCAATGGCACCCTCCGCAATGATGATGATGTTTAGTCGGGACCCTCGGCTCCGAGTCTGGGTCAAAGACACCACAGGGCTCAGCCACCAAGCTGGGGATACTTACCCTGGACATGGCCACCAGATGCTGGGCAGCCTCCCCAGGGTCCAGGGCCTGGGTGAGAGCCCTATGCCTGCAGCCCAGGAAAGTGGGATTACGCCCCCCACCCTGCAGGAGGAGAGAAGACCCCAAGGACACAGGTGGAGCTGAGGCTGGGCCACAGGACCAAACGGTGGGGAAAAAGGGGGCACCCAGCCAAGACAGCACAGGGCATGGCTGGGACTCGGGCCTTTGTGGTCCAGGCGAGGCCTTCCAGGCAGGAAGACATGGTTCTACAGCCTAAAGCAACACGTATGGACCTGTGACACCCCTGCAGTCCTGGTGGGCACGTCAGCAGCACACACTGAGCCCTGCAGAACTCCCTGGGATTTAAAGCACTGCCCCTTGTTTATTCCTTCAGTGACTTAATTTGATCTGTCTACATGCCATGTGTGTGTCCACAGTGGCCACAGAGCCTGACAGGGAGATGGGGCAGAGCAGGTGCAGGGGCGTGGTGGGAGTGGAGGGCTTCCTGGAGGGGGTGGCACTGCTGCTGGTGAGGTGAGACACCCAGAAACTAGGCTATGGGGGGGGGCCTTGTGGGATCTACCCCTCCTCACAAGCCAGAGCCTTGGCCACTCTCCTCAGCAGGCCACCATTCCTTATAAGCCAGATTCACTGTGCTCCCCTCACTGACTGCCCCAGAGGTAAGCCTGGACAAAGGCAGAGTGTCCCTCTCTGCCTCCTCTGCCCACCAGAGACAGGACCACAGGCACCTCCCTCAGCCAATCCTATAGCTCTCCCACCACTGCTGGGTGCTGCCCAGAGCACCCACAGCCGCTGCTGCACCAGCAAATGAAATCCCAGGGATACCACTGTGGCCACCAGGACATGGACACCATGGCCCACACGGACACCGAGACCCACACAGACACCGCAGCCCACACGGACACCAAGGCCACACGAACACCGAGGCCCACGCAGACACCGTGGCCCACACAGACACTGCAGGCCACACGGACACCAAGGCCACATGAACACC